ACTTTTTGAAAACCTACCAAATTTGATGACTCCTGCAAACCAATTTTTGAAAAACTACTCCTCTCTACTCCAGCATTGTGTACGAAAACCTTATAATTTTAGAACACACATATATAATTTTTCAAATTACAGAATGAACCACACATATAACACCAGGGGGAAAAATCATATTTTACAACCTCGCCATAGAATTAACAAAATCAAAATAGTAGGAATAAGCTATTTCAACCAGCTTCCAGACTATATACAAAACTTGTCATTGACTAGTTTCAGAAATAAAATTAAAGAAATCTTGAAAGATATGTGTTCATACAGTACAAATGATTATTATGACGGGATAAAGCATGTGTTCTCATAATTGATAACATCTTATTCATTTTAACTATATTTAGTAAGTTTTTGTCTATGTGCATATAGTTGTATTAGTTAAACTAACATTTTAAGATATTTATTCTGACGCATGTAACTAACCATTGGTTTATAATCTGATGACATTCATTTATGTAACTGACGACTGTAAGCACTTTTGTGTATCAATTGAGAATAAATCTATCTATTGTTTATGTCTATACTATGCGAAATCAATCCGAACAGCTAAATAAAAGGCTAATGTACCGGGTCTGATGAATTTACTATAATATATAACCTCCTACATAAAATAATGATTAGACTATTTAGTTTTCATCCCATTCGAATTGACTTCAAACATTCACTGATATTCTCGATCTGACAACAGATTACTCTAGTTTCCCAACATAGGGAACTTTTGTCCAAATTTAACCGACCGTTTAGGTCTTACCGTTTCCGAAATAGCAATAGTGGGATCAGCTAAAAAACGGCCGTATAGGTATAGATTTAAAGAAATCAAATGAATATCAAAGTACTCCCTCGTTAAAACTCTCGCGTACTTGTACAAGTACTTTAACAAATACAAGGCGTATCAACGATAAGTGGGTGGATGATAGCTATTTCCCTATTAGATAAACAAAAAAATGTTTCGGGAAAAAGTTATGGAAATTAATGAAAGCTATGTTTTAATGATCATTACTAATATACAGGATGTTCAATAAATATGTGACCGACCAAATTTATGTTTTTTCAAACATATATCTCCCTATTTTTCCACTCGATTGAATTTATTGGACATCAGAGTGTTTCTCAAAAATATAGCATTGTTTGGGTTCATACCGGGTGGTTCAGAAATTATAGTGAAATATATGTTAAACAATGGGTTGATTTCAACACCAAATATCTCCTACTCAACCAGATTTCTTTGTGAATAGTGTTTTTTCATTTAGTCTTCATAAGTTTACCAAACGGCGCTTATTCTATACAGGGGTGAATAAAACTCCCTTATTTCCATCGGGAATGTATCTACTTCTTGAGGAAAGTATGAAAAAGTCATTAAATATAAGCAATAACGTTTTTTTTTCAGTGCTGGGCAAAACAAGTAACAAAATGAAAACAAATAATCTCAAAAATGAAAAATTCACAATAGATGCTCGAACAATCCTCCATTTTGAACTATGAATAAATGTAGTCTATAAGCAATTTCCCTTCAAACTTCAATTGAAGTTAATCTTGTAATATACCGAAAAACTTCTCTAATCCTATTCTTCATATCTTCTGATGTCGTTAGTTTTTTCTCGATATACCTCTCCTTATAGATAGCCCCATAGATAGAAATCTATGGGCGTGAGGTCTGGGGCCATGCTGGCCAGTGAATCGGTCCATTTCTTCCAAATTCATTTGCTGCTTCGCCACCTGTTTAAAAGCCTCCGTACTCAATTTTGGTTGTGAGGAGGCAAGCCATAATGTTGTTAATATACCTTATGCCTTGTGTCAATCGGTACATCCTCCAACAAATTTTATAAATAATTTCTCCATTCGAAGGCCTAACAAAGATATATGGTCCTATATATGACATGATACCCAATTATGTCCCCCAAACATTTATCGAACATCTGTGTTGGTTATCGACTCTCATCCAATAGTTCTCCGTTGAGTAGTAGTGCATATTATGTCTATTTACCATGCCTTTACTTTTGAATATTGATTCGTCAAAAAACAAAACATATTTCAAAACATTCGGTTCTTCGCTAGTTGAATTCAATAAATTTTCGCAATACCGAACTCTGGTATCATAATCCGTTTCATAGAGTTTTTGATGTTATTGCAATTTTATTTACTAGTTGCATTTTCTTATGTTTGACAAATATCTCTGGTCGTATAGACTTCGAGTTAGTCTATACGACGAGTTATAGACTTCACCTATTCAAATATCCGATTCAACAACAACGAAAATTCGCTTTTAAATAAAAGCTAAAAATAATCATGCATATACAAACCTGTTGTTTTACTGTTTCTACGCCAACAGTGCAAGGGCTAGAACTAATCCTATTCGATTTTCTGGCGTTTTTTTTATTCTGCCACCAATGCCGAGCGTCTGAACTGTCTCCATCTAGTTCTCTACCATCTTCTGTATTTCCCGATGTGCCAAGTGACTAACGAAAAAAAAAAAATAACAAAACCAAAATAAAATCTTTCAACAAGCTGAACACAAAAAAATAATACATTCAATAAACAATATATTATGACAGTAAAATAATATTTTGAAAAATTATTGATGATTGTTTTACATTTTGTATCGAGAACATGCCGAATACGCTGGATGTAAGGAACGTATTGGTCAAGTCATCTTAGTCAAAATTAGGTAAGTATCCCGGAATTTGAAATACCCAGTTATACACTCGTTCAAACTTGTACTTTGACATCACAACATTTGTTTCAAAGCCTACATACGGTAGGGTGTACGCGACTATTAAAATCTGAGGTGAAAGATCTTAAAAATCGATTTTTTGCACATTTTTTGCAAATATCTCGTCCCCTATGAGTGTTTTTGTTATTTGTATTCATTATCAATATTGTAGAGGATTAAATTCCCTACAAGGGCGGAAAGCGTGCGGTTAGAGCATCATTTAAGGTCAACCGGTAGTCCCGGTAGTCCTGGAACCTATTACAATTTCATCACCTACTCCATTGGAATTGGTCAACACAATATTCTGCAACTGCAAGAGTGGTTGAGGTTCGCGATGTGGATGCAGGAAATCGGGGTTGCAGTACTCTTAACTTGTGGCCAGTGTAATGGGTAAACTTGTCTCAATGCTTTACCAACATAGATACGTAAGTGAAATAATTATCAAATATAAGGTAATAGTTAATAATGAATGAAAAATATTAATAATTATGTTTTTTCAATAATTAATAAACTTTATATGGTGTTTTTGACCGGAACTACCGGTTGACCTTAAATGATGCTCTATAGCCGCGCGCTCTCCGTCCTCTATCTCGAAAACGATTCAACATATAAAAAACATTTTGGAACAAAAGTTGTAGGGAATTTGAACCTCTACAATATTGATAATGAACACAAATTGCGAAAAACCCATAGGAAACGAGATATTTGCAAAAAATGTGCAAAAAATCGATTTTTGTGACCTTTTACCTTAGATTTTGATAGTTGCGTACACCCTACCATATGTAGGTTTTGAGATAACTTTTCCGATTTCAAAATACATGTAGTATGAGTTTATAGCTGGGTATCTCAAATTCCGAGGTGAACTTACTAAGATGACTGGACTATATTTTTTAGTTAAAACTTGGTTACAACTTGGTTTGCATCTTCATATTATACGAGTTATCATTTAGGAAACTTCAATAGTAGTTTCTTTCAATGTGACTGATTATATATTTTGTTGAAAGGTAGAGCTTTGAATCTTCACATACTCGATAGCTAAATAGAGAGAAACAAATAAAACAAAACAAATAAAGCGGAAAAAATATAGGACCTAAATGTTTTGGCGTTTAAATGAAAATAGGAAATGAAATACCTATAAGTCTATGTACCCGTGTAATCTCAAGACGACGGCGGCAGAACTAAAGCAGGTATCACACCTTGCGTTTTCATCAGCGCGCTAAAATCGCTTCGGTATGAAGCGCTGGTGGCAAGATCGCTGTTACACCGGAGTGCAACACAAGCATTTTAATGTAAGGAGGCGAACTGTTGAAAGTGTTATATCGCACTGGTAATATGTTCAACAAACCTAAGTAACAAAGTGGCATTGAAAAAGTTCTCAAAAGATTTAATGAAACTAACTATTATGCAGAATCTTGACAGAGTGCAAATAAACATTTCATTTTATTGAAGAATCAGAACTGGACAAAACAGAATAATTGCGGTTCAAAGTCAATTGCGACGTTCATTCATAATTTTCATAACAAACAGTAAGCACAAGAAAGTGAATAATCAAACAAAATCGAATTTAAATTTATACAAAATTAAAGACGTACTATATGTCAATAAACGGCGGACATATTCTATACGATTAGTAGATATTCAGGAACAAAGAAATTTGATAATTAATGCCAACAAAGTATAATATCGTTGGTTTTAAATAAACTCTAGGACCAAACAGGAGTTTACAAAGATTCTGAAAGCAAAACAATGCACAATCCTATAGAATCAAGTTGACGTTTCATCGACTGCAATCAGCTGTTTTACTTCAAACGCTGGTACGTCAAGAAACCAACCAAAGTAACAAATACTCATATGCAATAGTATTTCTAAACAAATGACTCACCTCAAATTTGTTTCTGCCTGCATAAATCATGTTATTGCAGGCGGAAAATATTTGATAATTTTTGTATTTCTTTCTAACACTCCACACAAACACTACTGAGGCTAACAAATGAATGACGATGACAGCGACAGCAATATTGTTTAGTGCATTGTCCTTAGATCGAGTCGAGTCGAACGAATAGCAGACACGGGATATATTCGCGGGAACTTCATTGGTTGCTCTGTGTTCAAAACAAAAACAACCCCGCCGGATAGTCTGATCGGATGCTGAGTTGTCACGTTGTGCTGATATTACTATAAAGCAACTACAGTATATTAATTTTTTTTATTGTTCCTAATTTGAAGACTTTTTCGTCCTAAAGAAGCCAATTTTAAGAAAACCAGGTTTGTGGTACCCAAAAAATTTTAAAAAGGCACTTAGGTCCTTCGAGACGGAGAGGTTTTGTTAGTGAGATTTTTTAACTTTTCATTATTTTATAGATCCATGAAAATGTCGGCATCAGGTAGGTATATTTTTCAAAATATAGGACGCTCTAGAAAAAGATAATTTGATTTTATATGAACGGGTCGATACGTCTATAGATTGTCACTATATTTTGACCAGAAGGATTTGAAAAACACTGCTGATAGGACTTAGGTAGTCCTTAAATTTTCGGTTGACGTCGCATCTACTATAATTTTGTAGGTGTATTTGCAGAGGTATGTTCGTCTGCTATAAAAGAAAATAATATTGAAAATCGGAAAAAAGCGTGATTGAGTAATTGAGCAATAAGAGGCATTAGATGTATGTCTCAGAAAATCGACAAAAAACTCGTGATAGATAACTCATAAAATTTTCTCAGCGAATATTTTCTTAGAGAATAAATATTTTGAAAAAATTCTCAAAATATTCATCTTTTCCAACTACTTACACCGTAGATTCTGGTGAACGCCTGCCGGAAAATAACTACTTCCCCGGCTAATACCACGCTGGAAATTGACTAATATCCGACAAACATTTATGCAAAATACCTCAGAGAGGTTACTCTTGCTTGCACATGTTTCTCGTTCATTCAGCAGCAGGACAATGATGAAATTATTCGAGTACATCACCTACAACCGGTTTCGAGGTATTAACCCTCATCAGTGAATGAAAGATCCGACCCAAACAGCAAATTGTCTGGGACTCGATTAATTTCAACGCGGCTCCACTGCAATATTTCTCTTAGACGAAACCTTCGTCTGAGAGACATATTGTTAACTAATAACAACTCCAGCTTATCTAGCTTTCTATATTTTCATTGAATAGGGTCTTTCATCAAGAGCTTCCTATTTTTGATTTTAAATAAAACAAAGCATGTGTGAGATATCATCGAAATTTTTTTATGCGTTTGAAATATCTATTAATGACATTATGTGTGGAGTTTATCATCATTCAAATGTCCGCCACGGCTTCTCTAGATGGAGCACATTCGATACGTCCAATTTTCCATGACTCTGGCGCATAAATCAGGCTGAATTTGACCGATGGCATGGGCTTTGAAGACCGCTGTGGTTTGTGGCTTTTTCGCGTACACCTGCTACTTGAGAAAACCCCACAAGAAAAATTCAAACGAAGTCAAATCCCGCGATCTCGGTATACCATATGGGTATATGGTTATGACATGGAAACCAAAGTCCAATTGTGCCAATGGAAGAGCTCAGGAGAACTAAGACCAAAAATCAAGATAATACTATTATCTTGAAGTCATATGTGCTGATTACGAGAAGCAATACGAAGAAAACGTCCGGTATTGTGGAAAAACAATTCATGGCTTTTGCATCACGATAATGCACCTGTTCATTCGTCATTGCTTGTTTGTAATTTTTTGGCCGAAACCGACACCGTAATCATGGCTCAGCCAGCGTATTCACCAGATTTAACCCCCTGCCACTTTTTCCCGTTCCCAAAGTTGAAATGACCCTTGAAAGGACGGCGTTTTGCAACAATTTACTATATAAAAATCGAAATAGCTGAGAGAGAACATACCAAAAAAAATTGAAATTGATGAATAATTATTTTTTTAGAAAAATGAAAATTTACCTAATTTTTTGAACAGACAGCGTATATCTCATTTTGTCTGCGTGTCGTGACTTGACCTGAGTTATATGCATAGATGTTTTCTCATGGAAAGCATCGTTCGTCAGGTCTAGTGGTATAGTGTGGCAGGTGAACTTTGGATGGGCAGTTGATTAGGGTGGTGGAAAAACAGTTGAGACAGTCTGCCGCTTATCGCTTATCACTCATTTATCATTTATCTACACACCGCCCCCTCCTTACTTCTACAACATATTCAACCGATCAGACTAGACCTTACGTACTGTACTTTACTAATTTGGAAATATGTAATGGCCAGATATTATTTCAGAGAGTCGCAAATCACGAACCTGGGCCATATCATTTAGTTAATATAGTTATGATGTACTGTTTGGAACCTTTGGTGTATTAATAAATATTATTGGAGTTTTTTCCCAACACCAAATCGTTATTTTTACACCTCGACACGTGTTTCGATCAACAAGTGATCATCTTCAAGGGGAAGATAAAACTAGAAACTACTCAAAACTAAAGCTATTTATGTTATTCAGGTACATCATACAGGTAAGTAATCAGTAATACCACCCATACAAGTGTACACCCTAAATTAATTTTACAATTGGCCTTTCTATTATTTTACAATATGTCCTTATGAATGTTTAAATGTTACAGCTATAAATAAAACAATTTTCAGCTATATAAAATTAGTTTCACAATATTGCCTATCTAAATATATTTATAATGTGTCTTTTTGTAGTAACCAGTAAACCCAACAATATTATTTCAACAAGCTATATGGTATGCTAATATTATTATGTTTACTTAATTCTACACTCTCATAGGCATCTAGTTGCCTGTTGTTGTTAACTTGTCTAACTAATCTTAAAGAACTGAAGTCTATGGAATGGTTTTGTTGCAAAATATGATGGGCGACTGCTGATTTTTCAGGTCTTCCAAATTTTAGTGTGCTATGTGTTCCTTATATCTCACTTCAATAGATCTTTTTGTCTGTCCATAATATTTTGCATCGCAGTCCTTACATTCGATTTCGTAAATTCCAGACTTTTCCAAATTCTTGACTTTGTCTTTTGGACTTCCCAAAAGGCTCTGCAGTGTATGACTTGTTTTAAAAACCACCTTCATACCTAGTTCCTTAAAAATCTTTCCAAAATTCTTCGTATATTGGTGGTATGGAACTGAGATGTATTTATCTTGGTTTTTGTCCTTTCTGAAAGTCGAGATTTCGTTCATTCTTAACCTAAACTACTTTTTCCTAATTATGTCATCTACAATACCCCTCGGGAAACCGTTAGTGGCTGCTATTTCCTGTATTGTACGTTTTTCTTTTGTGAACCTATCATGTGTTAGAGGGAAAGTCAAAAGACGATGCACCAAAAAATTCAACCCAGCACGTTTGTGCTGTCCACAGTGATGTGAACTGTCAGGAATATCCTCTTGAAGATGATCACTTGGTGATCGAAACACGTGTCGAGGTGTAAAAATAACGATTTGGTGTTGGGAAAAAACTCCAGTAATATTAGTTAATATATTTAATCATCACAAATTCATGCTGATATATCATCTGATCCTCGTAAGTTCTTTAACTCAGATAATGTGAAAATGTTAAAAACAAACAAAATTAATAGTTCTTTGTTATTTCATATTCATCGAAATAAATCAGGTTTTAATCAATTTATCACAAAAAACTGAAATTATCTAACCTGTAAAACGATGCGGCAACATCGCTTCGACTAGACGCCGCGCCGTGGAGGTTAATGAACACAAAGCTGCAACGTCCTAACACCAGCTATAACAAAGATTAAAAAGAACAACTTGGGGAGGAAACAGTCTCGTGCAAGTCGTGTGTCAAACACAGGTCAAAAAGCGATATATACATGGGGGAGGGCTACTCAGGTTTGATGGCCCCGATATGACCTCGGTCGTCCTTCCTCGACCAACAAGGACTTTGAAGCAGGTATTGAAGGTAACTGACACTTTCCGAATGGACAATAAAGGACGATGGACGTTAATGTGAGAACATTTCAAGGAATAAACATACTAAAATTTCCGTTTCAGTACCGGACTGGCTCGAATCGATTTATTATATTGAAAACATCATTAAAACGAAAAAGTATATTTCCATCAGCATCAGCAACCTATTCATATATGTTTAATTTTGAAAGATTATATAATATTGCAATCCCAGTCATTCCAGTTGACACTTTTTATGTATATTGAGTATGGGTATAAAACAACATACACTTCATACATAACTGTTCAAATTCGAGGCCATGCATTAGGATTTCGTAACGTAAGAGATGGAGATTATAGATTGCGTTGGGACAAAGTTGACTAGTTTCAGTGGCTAGCATCAGCAACCTATTCATATATGTTTAATTTTGAAAGATTATATAATATTGCAATCCCAGTCATTCCATTTAACACTTTTTATGTATATTGAGTATGGGTATAAAACAACATACACTTCAAACATAACTGTTCAAATTCGAGGCCATGCATTAGGATTTCGTAACGTAAGAGATGGAGATTTTTGGAATTTCTTCCTGACGTTTTGCTGGCGCGAGTGGCTAGCTTCACCAGAGGTTCATACATTCTGGATTACTATCCGATGACTGAATATTATGGTTTCGTAACGCGTATTTATGCTGTGTCAGGTAGTTTGTAATGCTAATACCTGTACCTGGATAAGGTAATTTGTCAGTAACATTCATTGACCCTTTTCTCCCTGCCGTCATGCGTTACGAAACCATAATATTCAGTCATCGGATATTAACCCCGGATGTATAAGCTAAACTCTCGCGTCAGCGAAACGTCAGGAAGAATCTCCAAAAATCCACGGCCTTCAAACCCGAAAAATAGTGACACTGATAACCTCGGCCGTGAAAGCCTTAACCATTTTTTGATACTTCCTTCATTACTTGGATTTCATGTAACCCAAAAAAAGTTGTCAAGTAGTGTGATCTCGAGACAACGAAGTGGCTACTCTAGTGCATCTCGTCTTCCAATCAATCTGTTGGGGCAGTGACGGCGCAAGACCTAAATTTAATGTGGGCAAGATACATTTCGCGAGGCCTTCTGATGGTGCAAGAAGGAGGATCC